TTCGCTTATCTCAAGGGCTCTTTACAGGGTGACGCATCAAATAAAATTTCTATTTACGACGTAAGCGAAGAAAATTATAAAACAGCTTGGAAATTAATGCTCGATTCGTACGACAAACCACGCATTCTAATCGTTAACCATCTCGATTCGATTTTAGATTTGCCGGTACAAACGAAGGCCACACATAAGGGTCTCTCGGAACTCGTCAACGACATGCGTCAGCATGTAAACATGTTTGCAACATTAAATATAGAACTCGGCGAACATTTATTAGTTCGAATACTAGAACGGGCATTACCGAATCACATTGGCGCGAAATGGGAAGAAACGCTTGATTCAAATTTAACACCGACGCTCGATCAAATTTACAAATTTATTTCGGAAACTGCATATCGTTTGTATTTATTGGGTTGTTCAAAAAGTTATTGCGTTTTTTTCATTTGATTTTCAGGTGCGTTTATTTAATATACGTAATGAACATTAATCAATAATATATTGGCCGTTTTGTTCAATGACCTTTTGCCATCTCTCGGGCAATTTCATAATACCGCGTTCATAAAACTTCCTATCTTTCTCTGCGAGAAACTTGTCAAGGTGCTGTTTGATGAGGTCTTCAGAAGCAAACGTTTTACCGTTCAAGAAGTTTTGCAAGGAGCGAAATAGATGGAAGTCTGATGGCGCAATGTCTGGGCTATATGGTGGATGTGGCAACACATCCCAACCAAGCTGCAATAATTTTTGCCGAGTGACCAAACTTGTGTGTGGTCTCGCATTGTCGTGGTGAAACACCACACCCTTACGATTGATCAGCTCGGGACGTTTCTGTGCGATGGCATCACTTAATTTCTGTAGCTGCTCACAGTAGACATCGGAATTGATCGTTTTATTCTGTGGAAGCAGCTCATAGAAGACTGGTCCCTTCCAATCCCACCAGATTAACAGCATCACCTTCTTTTGGTGGATGTCCGCCTTTGCTTGCCTTTCCGGTGCTTCATCTCGCTTACTCCAACTCCTTTTTCGGCTCACATTGTTGTAGACAATCCATTTTTCGTCGCCCGTGATCATACGCTTCAAGAACGGATCGTTTTCTTCGCGTTTGGTGAGTTGATCGCAGACGTTCACACGCTTTGTCAGATGAATTTCTTTCAACTCATGCGGTACCCAAATATCGAGCTTCTTCACGAAACCAAGCGATTTCAAATGTCCATGAACACTTCCAATGGACACTTTTAGAGCGGTAGCAAGCTCCCGAACCGTTGAATGCTTATTTGCTTGCACCAATGCCTTGATTTTATCGTCGTCAATCTCGGAAGGCCTACCGGAGCGATGAGCGTCTTTAACCGAAAAATCACCACCACGGAATCGGGCGAACCAGTTCTGGCACTGACGTTTTTCAATGACATTTCTGCCGTAAACTTGACGCAACTCTTCCCTTGCTTCAGTTGCTTTCTTCCCTTTTTTAAAGTAATAAAGCAAAATATGGCGAATATGCTCTTCAAAATTCTCCATGTTTAAACTACAATTGCAAGCACAAAACTCGACTAAATTGCGTCAACTTTTTTTTTGGTTTTTAGGTTAAGTGTCAACAACAAAATGTGCATAAACATTTGACATTCATGGCACGCTCAGATACAAATAAATGTGGACAGCGCTATCTATTGGAAAAAAACGCAATGACTTTTTGAATAGTTGAACAAGATAAATCGCACGTTAAATCGGAAGAAACCAAGAGACCATTCGGCGGGAAAGATTTTAAAGCATAAAAAATGCAAAAAACAAATCAAGGCGCGCGTACATTAATGACTACAACGTCAACAAACAAGGCGAATTGTCCGCTGTGCAAGAGAGAGATGCATTACGTATACAAGTGTCCCGAATTCATAAAAATGACGATACGACAACGTCAAGATTTCGCGAAAAGAACATTGTTGTGCAGAAATTGTTTGCGTACACATCACGGCAAATGCTTATTTTCGCATTGCAGAAAATGTTTGAAATTTCATAATACTCTTTTACACGAGGAATTCGCCAAGTCGGAAACGACATCAACCAAATTTAAGAAAGACTGTCTGACGGCATCGCGGAGATAAAAACCGAACCGGCATGACAAGACGTAATCGCTCATAACTTTACGGCGCAAACTTTACAATTGGAATTAATATTGAGCGCACAAATACCAATTAAAGATTCAAGCGGTAATTTCGTAACATGCCGTGCATTATTAGACACGTGCTCCACGGCACATTTTATTACGACAGAACTTGCAACAAAATTGAAATTACCGATACGTTCATGCGTTCTTCCTGTAGGCGCGATCGACAACATGAATACGTTTGCTAGAGGCATTGTCAAGTGCACATTCTATTCACGGTTTAACAACTTTAACAAAATTCTCGAGTTTTTAGTGATTCCTAAAATTTCCGATAGGACTCCAAACGAAACGTTTTCTCGCGAATCAATTAACATACCGCGAAATATAAATTTGGCCGATCCACAATTTTATCTGCCACAAAAAATCGACATGCTTATCGGCTCGAGAGCAACAATGTCGTTATTATCAATCGGACAAATTGATTTATCACGCGACGGTCTTGATCTGTTTCTACAGAAAACACAGCTTGGATGGACAATCGCTGGCGGAACAGCCAAGGCCATAAACGGAAATCAAGGGTTTTGTCAATTAACTGAATTAAGAAGACAAATTGAAAAATTTTGGCTGCTCGACGACGCGAACGCTTGTCAAATCAAAACGATAGAAAATAACAAATGCGAAATGCACTTCGTGAAAAATGTTACACGCGATAGTTCAGGACGCTACACGGTTCGTCTACCATTTCGTATACAAAATCCCGATTTCGGAAATTCTCGATCAATAGCGTTGCGACGTTTCATCGGAATACGAAGGAGATTTGATTCTGATCCAGAACTCTAACGCAATTATTATCGAGTCATGAACGAATACATCAAATTAGGTTATATATCGCGAGTTGCCGACGAATCTCTCAGCGGTTATTATCTTCCGCATCATGCAGTCATAAAGGCCACAAATGCGACTACAAAAACGCGGGTAGTGTTCGATGCCTCCACAAAATCGAGTAAAGGCATTTCCTTAAACGATGCTTTGATGGTCGGTCCGACCATTCAACTAAAATTATTCAAACATCTCGTGCGTTTTCGTACGTTCAAAAACGTGTTGACGGCCGATATAGCTAAGATGTATCGACAAGTCTGGATACATCCGGACGAACGTAGATATCAACGAATTTTTTGGTTTCACGCGGATAAAATTCAAGTTTTTCAATTAAATACAGTAACATTCGGTGTATCATCGGCTATTTCTAGCTATTCGAACAATACAAAAACTCGCGAGCGATGAAAACTCAAATTTTCCGATAGGAGCAAAAATCTTACACAATGATTTTTATGTAGATGATTTACTATCAGGCGCAAATACGATTGAAGAGCTTATTCACATTCGCGATGAAGTCATTGAAATATTGAAACGCGGTGGTTTTGATATACGCCAATGGGCATCAAATCATCTGCGAGCTTTAGAAAATCTACCGAAAAGACTTAACGGTTTAGAATTTCTTACCAATGAAAATCCGATTCGAAAAACGTTAGGCATCTCCTGGAATGCACAGCGCGATAAATTGTGTTATACGGTTAAAACTATTGAGCGTCCCGAGAGGATTACTAAGCGATTCATTTTATTCGAAATCGCTAAGATTTTTGACTCTCTCGGCCTACTTGGCCCGGTCATGCTCATTTCTAAAATCCTTCTGCAACAATGCTGGAAGGCAAAAACGGATTGGGACAAATCCGTTCCCCACGCATTACAAATCGCTTGGCAGTCCTTCTCGGAACAGCTCGCATTAATTGATAACTTAAAAATAAATCAAAATGTACTGATAAACGATGCGATCGATATTTAACTTCACGGATTTTCCGATGCCAGCAAGGCCGGTTACGGAGATTGCATATACGTACGTTCGAATAATAAAAATAACGAAAATTCTCGTGCGGCTTTTGTGTTCTAAGGGTCGCGTCGCACCGCCTGCGGGACAGACCGTGCCTCGTTTAGAATTATGCGGAGCGTTAGTACTCGCTCAACTTTATAACGAAATACTTGCGGTACTCATGTTTAAGCCTAATAAGATCATATTTTGGTCGGATTCCACGATAGCGTTATCATGGTTAAACAAGCATTCTAGCGAATTAAAACAGTTCGAAGCAAATCGAGTACGAGAAATTCAGAAAGTTAGCGAAGGAATCGAGTGGCGGCATGTTCGCACGGAACACAACCCAGCGGACGCGTTATCAAGGGGTCAACTACCTCAAGAATTTTTAAACAACAAAACGTGGTTTCAAGGTCCATCGTGGCTCTCGCGACCGGAAGCCGAATGGCCGCGCTCTATCGTAACACATACAGACGACTTGCCCGAAATAAAGAAGACAACATCTCTAACGGTACAAATTTATTCCGAAGCAATATTAGAAAAATTTTCATCGTATACTAAATTAATACGAGTAGTCGCGTACTGCTTACGATTCTTGCGTTCCAATGAAAACACCGGCGTTTTATCAGTCAACGAGATAGAGGAAGCCGAACGACGCATTGTAAAGCTCATACAGCAGATTCATTTCAAGACTAATTGTAAATAAATTTTTTGTTAACGTGCGGAGAAGTAAAATGCACAAAGCTTGGATCATTAAACCCGATAATTGACGAACACGGTTTATTGCGCGTCGGAGGACGAATTCATAAGGTCAACATATCGTCTGATCAGAAACACCCAATTCTTTTACCGTCTTGCAACTACGTCACGGATCTCTACATTCGGTACATTCATGAAAAATTTTATCATACAGGAATACAATCGACACTGTATAATGTTCGACAACGTTCCTGGATAATTGACGGTCGCAATCAAGTGCGTAGAGTCATTCGTCGTTGCATCAGATGTGCACGTTTTCGTTCCGAGAACGCGAAATATAAAATGGCAGATTTGCTAAAGGCAAGACTCGATAACGTAACTCCGTTTTATCACACGGGCGTCGAATATTTTGGCCCGATTCTCGTCAAGGAGAAAAAGCATCGTAATCGCAGTAGCATCAAGGTCTACGGTTGTATATTCATATGCATGTCAACCAAGGCTATTCATATCGAAATCGTAACCGATTTATCAACAGATGCTTTTATAGCATCTCTGAAAAGATTTGTCAGTCGTCGAGGTGTTCCGGCGCATATTTACTTAAACAATGGAACCAATTTCGTAGGCGCGAAAAATCAATTCCGCGAACTTTCCCTAATAGGATCCGAGGAATTTTGTACTCAATTGCATGAGTTTACCTTAGAAAACAGGATCGAATGGCATTTTAATCCACCGAATTCGCCACATTTCGGCGGCCTCTGGGAGGCCGCTGTGAAGTCGAGCAAGCTCCATTTAAAACGAGTAAGGCGCGATCTCTTGTTTACATACGTAGAATTGAACACCCTAGCGGTAGAAATCGAAGCAATTTTGAATTCGAGACCTTTATGTCCTCTTTCTATCGATCCAAACGATCCAATCGCATTAACGCCTGCACATTTGCTTATTGGCAGACCTTTCACAATGCTGCCGAAAACTGATTTCTCTTGTGTTGCAGATAATCGCTTATCAATATGGCAATTGATTACAAAGATTCGACAAGAATTTTGGCGACAGTGGCAATTAGAATATTTAACGGAATTACAGAAACGACAAAAATGGATTAAAAAAGATGTTAATCTGAAACTGAACTCTATTGTCTTACTAATTGACAAAAATCATCCCTGTATGCAGTAGAGGCTGGGTGGTCGAAATACATCCAGGGGACGACGGCGTGGTCAGAGTGGTCACGATTAAAACCATACACGGAACATCTAAAAGAAATGCGACTTCTCTCAGTCCGTTACCTACGGACGCCTAAGACTTTAATTTCATTTATTATGTAATCAAGGAGATGTAATTTTTATTTGCTTTCAACGATTTAAATTATTTAATGTTTACACGACCATGCGAAACAATAAGCGATTGCCTTACTAAGCAGTCGGCTTGTTGTTTGAAATTTATGCGACAACTGTAACAAGCGTTATTGTTAAGAATTGAACGTTCGCTGCATGCACAGACGCACACCTAGACGAATTTGTTTTGCTCGTTGCACTCCCAACGGGGGGAGGATGTTTGGTGAATGGCGAATATATTTATGCGAAATATTCACGAGTCTAATGATTAAGTTTAATTTAATTTTTCCCGTTTGAGACAATGAATATTCGTTATTCTTAATATTTAGTTTATTTCAGTTTCGTTTTGTACTAATATACGACGGTCGGTAATTAATGAGCGCATAGATAAAAAGCTCTCTCGGCCGCTAGTACGACAGCGCCAATCAAAAATTATCGCGCCACAGCGCAACGGTGTGTGTCTTGTGCGTGCAGAATTCATTCGAGAAGTAGCGTCCAACGTGTGCACACGTGCGAGTCGTTCTTTCTTTGTGTAGCGATTATTGCGTGATTTGATATTTTGCGTTTTTTGTATACGTTTCTTATATGTCATTGCGTGATCTGATTTGTGCGTTTCTTGTGTTATACGTTAATCACTCGTAATTTTCCAACAGTGAGTACGTGTATTACAACGGGTCGTACAGGCCGTTCTTCGTGCCGAACACGAAAGACCGGCGACATCCTTATACGATACATTGAATACATTACAATAAAATGGGTTTTTTATGCCGCGCAGGCTTTTTCCCATCAAAGATGTAGTTTTATTTCTTTACAAACTCTAAATACTAAATCACGAAAACAAAAGATCGGTGGGACTCTTGAACCGCAAGAGTTTCTACCATACAGGCTTTCCAAATTTCAGAATGAGTACATCAATTAATTTTTTCAAACACATACGAATCGTTTGCCTTTCTCATTGGATATAAATTCACGTATTTTATAAAAGCATCTAACATAACAATTATATTGCATTCCTCTTCTGGCTATCGGATAAAAATCGACAGTAACTAGATTGTTTAGTCTGCTTGATTCGATAAAGTTATGTTCTCCTTCCATCGGGACTGTTAAATATTTTACTCGTTGATATATGTCACAACATAAGCTAAATTTTTTTACATGTGTGGACATAGTGGCGCTTAAAAAAATAGAGCCACTTCTAGCGGAGACAAAATAAATCATGTTGTTATTAGTTAATCTTAATTACGCACGAGGCGCAGCAATTTGTTACCATCAGACGAGTGTAAAGAAACATTGATGCTAGGTTGTTGTCGTGGAATAGTGTTGTTTAGTGTGAAACGGTTGAACATAACTTAAAGGTTAGTAATTGGGTCAAAATAATAGAGCCACATTTAATAAGTTCACCTATTTATTAAGTTTAACTTGTTTAACTGAATTAACATATTTTTTCATTTGGATGCTCTAATACTTTGTAGGGAACCCTTTGTTTTTCAAAACAGTTCGGTATCTGCCCATAGAGCCTACTAAGGATCTACACTCTTCTTCAGAAATTGAGTACCAAGCTTTTTGAATTTCCTCCCAGAGTTTACCAAGATTTGTAGTTTTCGAACGATTGATTCTTTTGTCAATTGTATCTCATAGGTTTTCTATTGGATAAGTACGGACTCTGTGGTGGCCATTCCAAAATGAGAATTTTTTCTTTCTCAATAAATCTTTTTATAACTTTAGCGGTATGTTTTGGATTGTTGTGCATTTTCCATAACAAGGGCATCTTACTTCTGGCATACGGTAACATAACATCTTTAGGAATGCATTTGTACATTTCTGCATTTATAATACTATTGATTCGAAATAATGGGCCAACGCCATACCAGGAGAAATATAACTGCCCAGACAATAACTGCCGCCACCATGCTTCACAGTTTTCAAAGTGTACTTGGGATTATTTTCTTGATTCGGTGGCCGCATATACACTTTTACATCCGAAAAAAACATTAAACTTTGATTCGTCGAACCACAGCATATTACGCTATCATCGTCTTTTTCTCTGTGGCTTTCAGAAAAAGTTAATTATTTTGCAATATTTTGTTTAGATACATGTGGTTTTTTCTTAGCAATGCGACCTGTATGGAAGATTAACCAATTGAGAAAATTATCTAAAATTAATTTATTATTGACGATAAAGAAAAGAGATTATGGTTTACAAAAGATTGGACATTAATTTATTCTATCATATTAAATCTTTATAATATTTAACAACACAATTAAGATTAATAAAAACCATATATTAAAGATATAATGATTTCTGAATAATAATGTTTATATGGCAAATATTTAAATATGTTTATACATTACTAAGTATTAAAGGCTTTAATTATTATCTATACAAAATTAAAGTAGGAAAATTCTATATTGAAAATTGTACATAACGTAATATCTTTGAAGATGTTTAGAATATAATCAGAAAACTTTAAATCATTTGGGAATAATTCAAATAATAATATTGAAATATATCAAACATTTAACATTAAGAATAATCAAATAATATTATATAACATTATGAATAATCATATAATATGTCATAATACATCATCATAAATGTATATGCTCTAAATAATAATAAGAAGAATGATATAAGATTTATAAACATTGAAAATCATGAAAATGAAAGAAAGACAATATATATAAACTAATTATACAAAGAATAATATGAATGCAGAGAAATATTGGAATTTACTAATATAAAAAATATCATGGGAATTTTAGGAAAATTAATAATAAGATGACTTGAAAATGTTTAAACCACTAGAAAGATTAACTTTGCAATACAGAATTTACATGAATAGGCCAGTATAAGAAAGATTTAAATCAATCAATGTTTTAAAAATTCATATAAAAAGACCAGTATAAGAATTTGATTTGAAGAAGACGAAGTTCCCTCGTCTTACCTTCGTTCTGTTGAAAATAATTAATTAGCGGTGGCACTAAATGTATATCGCCTCTCGTTGGGCACTGATAAAAATGGCAGATATGGCAATGAACTGCGGACCACGTATAATTACTCTCTGGGTATCGAAGCTGTTCAATTTTCGTAGCTGCTCTTTTAAATTCGTAGCTGCCCTGAATTCGTAGCTGCCCTGAATACGTAGCTGCTTTGAATACGTAGCTGCCCTGAATTTGTAGCTGTCCTGAATACGTAGCTGCCCTGATCGTATGGCAATGGCAAGGAAATTCTCAGATGTATTATCTGAAAAAAAGTAGCTGCCCTCGTTTGTACACAGAACTCTGACTTGGCAAAGGAAGGAAAAGCACGTCTGTTCACACGCGAAAGCGAAAGACAAGGAAGGAAGCCGTAAACATAAAGAAAAGTGTTGTCATAGACGTATGTCCGCGGGCTATAGATAATTTCAGCGCTTAATTCATTCTATGTTCGAAGCGTCGATCACTTCCGCAACACGATCATTGAGTTTTGTATAACACAATCTTCTTTTTATAGTTGATGTTGATAATTTAATATTTAATATCATATTGACTAGATACCATCTCTCTCAAGCGTGGCACACTCAAGAAAAGTTCCTTTTTAACTTTTAAGGGGATACCGGAGGTCTACTTTTACCGACTGAACCGATTATATTTTGCCACTATCGAGAAGTTTTTATTGCGTTAATAGAATAACAAATGCTTTTCCACGATTAAAGTTAATACTATGATATCCATGAAATATGTCAAAATATAAATAATCGAATACGAGGACGAAACGACAAGGCGCATTCGGCAATAACGTGATAGCGCGACACGTATAATACATCTTGAAAATAATAATCGCACGCTTACATAGTGGATAATTCTTTTTAATAAATAAATGATTTGTATGATTTATTCTTATCTAACTACTGCTCTGTTTTGATAATAATAATATTATTATATTCAATCTCTAAAATACTTTTATATAAATCATTTATTTATTACAAAGGATTATTTACTTTATAATCAATTATAATTATTATAGATAGGCCTGTTATAGACATACACACACACGCACATACACACTCACATATAACTTGTTAGCTAGAATGTGAACAAAAAAATTTTTGTCACATCACATATGTATATATATATATATATATATATATATATATATATATATATATATATATGTATGTATATATATGTATGTATATATATGAATGTATGTATGTAAATTAGGGTGTAAAAATTTTTTTTTGTCCATATTCTAGCTAACAAGTTATATATATATGTGTGTGTGTGTGTGTGTGTGTGTGTAGAAACAGGCCTATCTTTTATAATTGATTATAAAGTAAATAGTTCTTTGTAATAAATAAATAATTTATATAAAATTTTATTTTTAGAGATTGAAGAGTATTTTTGAGATTGAATAGATAGTAACACTATTATTATCAAAACAGAGCAGTAGTTAGATGAGAATAAATCATATAAATTATTTATTTCTTACAAAAAATTATACACTAAAACTTTATAATCAATTATATTCATAAAAGATTTTTATATATTTTTAGATTATAAATTGAATTATTTTTATTTTGGCAATGTAGATTATTTAAAAAAAATTATTATATACGTGTGAATGTATGAAAGAATGCAATGTAGAAGAGAGAAAATAGACAGAGAGATAGAGACAGATAGATCGATAGATATTATAGATAAATAGATAGATAGACAGACATAGATAGATAGATAGATAGGTAAATCGATAGATATTTCGATAGATAGAAGACAGATTGCTAAATAAATCGATATATGTATGTGTATATATACATATACAGGGTGTCCCAAAAAGATCGGAACACTGAAAAATCTCGAAAA